CAGAATTAGACGATGAGTTAGGATTCAACCCATGGTCTGATCATTACTCTCCTATTCAATCTGAAGAGGATACTGATAATAATGGAGAATTAGAAGAACCAATAGAAGACAACCAAGCTGCCTATCTTACTGAAGTCATAGGATATACTGCTAAAACTGATCCAACATACTTGGAGCAACTAGGACCTTTAGACTACCATCAACAACAGACTTTTATGAATCTATTAGGAGAATACTACGATATTTACGCAAGGAGTCAAATAGATATAGGAAGAACAACAGAAATCAAGCATTGTATCTATACTGGAACAGCTATGTTAATTGCTCAAAAACCATATTGAACTAATCCTGAAAATATCAGATTCCTGAATCAAGAATTAAAGAAAATGAAAGAAAATGGTATAATTTGACCTTCTTATAGTCCATGGGCCTCAACTGTCGTAATTGTAGGAAAGAAAGGAGGTAAAAAAAGACTATGTGTCAATTATCGAAAAGTCAATGCTGTCACAAAAATTGACGCGTATCCATTACCAAGAATCGATGACTTATTGGACTCATTAGGTGGAGCCAATTGGTTCATTACTCTCGACTTAGCTAGTGGTTATTAGCAAGTAGCCATATATCCTGACGATATTGAAAAACTGCTTTTATCACAGCAAATGGCTTGTATGAATTCCTAGTCATGCCTTTTGGATTAAATAATGCACCTGAAACATTTCAGAGGCTTATGAACTGGATTTTAAAAGACTTCTTTGGATTGTTTGTATCAGTTTACCTCGATGATATAATCATCTATACAAAAAGACCCTTTGAATTACATGTTGACTACGTTAAACAAGTATTTCAAGCTTTTAGAGATGCTCACTTTGCGATAAAATTAAAGAAGTGCTATTTCTGCCAACCTTTCTTAGCATTTTTAGGACATATCTTAGGACAAGAAGGAATTCAACCTGACCCAGAGAAGATTAAGAAATTGAAGAATTCCTAGAACCAAAAAGTCTAACTCAACTACGTGCTGCATTAGGATTATTTGGTTACTACCGAAAATTTATTAAAGATTTTGCACGACATGTCAAGCTATTGACTCTATTATTAAAGAAAGATCAACCATTTGAGTGGAGAGAAAAACAACAATATGCCTTTGATCGATTAAAGGAAAGGCTTATCAAAGCACCAATTTTGCAATATCCAGATTTTGAAATACCTTTCATTTTATATACAGAAGCTTCAAAGAAAGGGATAGGTGCTGCATTATCTCAGAAAAAGAATGGAAAAGAATATGTTATTACATACACTAGCAGATCAACCAACAAAACTGAGGAAAATTATCCCATAACTGACTTAGAGTGTCTAGCAATTGTTTGGTCAATCAAGCATTTTTATCATTACCTTAGTCGACCATTTACTATCGTGACTGATCATGCTGCCCTAAAATGGCTAAAAACCTCAAAAATGCCAAAAGGAAGACGTGCTAGATGGATCATGGAACTGCAACAACATCATTTTACCATCAAACATAGAGCAGGAAAATATAATGCAAATGCTGATGCATTGTCCCGCATGTATGACGAAGAAACTGCTGAATGTTTTATTATCAATCTTACTGAAACAGATATAGCTAACGACGAATATGAAAACAATAGTATAAAGGAAGATATAGAATGGCATATTTCTTCTCCCAAATCTGGAGAAAATGACAAATGGTTCGAAGAATAATTGTCTCGATAATACTCTAATACTGTTTTAATAATTGCCATTGGATATAAATCTCCTAACGAGGAATTAGAGGAAATTTATCGTGAAAATATAAAAATTAAACAAGTGATCGCAGGACAACCCATTACCAGAGGAGGATCACAACGCACCTTTTCATGTGATACAGAGAACCATCATATTCACATATACTGTAAAGCATGTAAGAAAAATCTATTGTATGGAACTATCATACATGACTATATCATTGGATATGATTTAGGAAAAATTCAACTGGATATGAAGCCAGAATACTTAACTAATGACCTCTGGTGGGAAGAATCTCTTTTAGTACAACAGGAAAACCTTCATGCATAATTACACTTTCACCTTGGTGACATTGATAATGCGCCCCTTTCCCCTCTTATTAAATTAATCATTAACATAATATAAAGAATTAAGTGAAAGCGAAAGTGTTTACAGCGTGGTAAACAGCTTAAATTCTTAACCATGGAAGAATGACAATATAATCAACTATTTAATTATTTAACCAACCAAACATACCCCACTGCCCTTAATCAAACTCAACAACATAAATTAATCGTATTATCAAAACATTATATTATTAAGCATAATTTATTATATAAAATTAATAAGAATAACCTAAGTAACCCAATTAGAGTACTCAAGAAAACGGAGTTAAAACCTACACTTTACATGTTTCATAATGATCTAACTGTTGCTCATAGTTCAAAAGAGAAGATGATGGAGAAAATTAGAAAATGATTTTATTGGCCTCAAATGTTTGAAGATATCAA